CGCCTGTAATCCTAGCTACTCAGGAGTCTGAGATCTGAGGATCAAGGTTCAAAGCCAGCCTGGGCAGAACCGTCCATGAGACTCTTATCTTAACTCACTACCAGAAAACTGGAAGTGGTGCTGTGGCTCAAGTGGTAGAGCTCTAGCCTTGAGCTGCAGAGCTCAGGGAAGCGCCCAGGCCCAGAGTTCAAGCCCCACAACCAACAACAACAACAACAAAAAAGCCAGAAGTGGAGGTGGTAGAGGTGTGGGTCAAGTGTTAGCTTTGAGCAATAATGCTAAGTGAGAGAAGTCTTGAGTTCATGCCCCAGTACCAGCATGAAAAAATAGAGAGAAAAAAAAAATCAGAGTTGCAAGGCGCTGGTGGCTCACACCTGTAATCCTAGCTACTCAGGAGGCTGAGATTTGAGGATCTTGAGTCAAAGCCAACCCAGCACTAAAGTCCGTGATACTCTTATCTCCAATAAATCACTCAGAAAACTGGAAGTGGCGCTATGGCTCAAGTGGTAGAGTACTAGCCTTGAGCTGAATTGCTGAGGAACAGAGCCTAGGCCCAGAGTTCAAGCCCCACAACTGACAAAAAAAAATGGGAGCTGGGTCATGAAATGAGAATGCAGAAGAGGCTGTTTATGCCTCTATTGCCCAGGTTCCTGCTTTGGTGTAGCTCTTGACAGTGAGTACCTCCATCCAAGAAGCCCAGGGTTCAGGCACCAGCCCAGTCTTTGCCTGGGTATCAAAATCTCAGAAGTAGAGAACTAGGTATATGCCTTCAATATTTGTTATCGACAGAGTAGCCAAGCCATTCACCTTCTTTGTCAACTCATGACCTAGTCAGAGCCTGCTGTAGGAAGAACTTAATCCACAAGGTCCTATAGAAACCCTGAAGAACAACCCTGTATACCACTCCGACCGACTCCCAAGGCTCTAGAATGTGTCCCTTGTGAGTCCATATCTGAAAAGGCTGTGTCTGCAAAAGTATATTTACTACTAAGTAATAATTAACATCTCCTACCTACTTCTGTCTAACCAGACACACATACTACCACCAATCAACATGAAAAAGCAAAAGTGCTTGCCCTTCCAATAAACCTCAGCTTCCAACAAAAGCAATGCAGAGAGTCTGGCTCTAATCATGCGGCAAAAGCCACAGGGGAAGACCCTGGTTTCACATCTTTCAGTAAACTCACTCTTACTGGATAAACCCCAAGCCCCAATAGCTTTCACACAGACAGTCCTTACCCAACTGCCTCCACTAGCCAACTAACTCATTAAGATAGACTATCCTTGTTAGGCAGCTGACTCATTTATCAGCTCACCTCAGGCCTCAAGATGTACTTCTACTTTGCTAATAAGTCACTCTTTACTGTCTCTCTGCAGAACACAGGAGGGCAGGGGGACTGATTCTGTGAGCCTCAGGGCAACCTAAAACATGAGCTCCTTCAAGTACTGACCTGTCCCCCCTTCCCAAAAACCAAATACTTTGAAACGCTCATGGCAAATCTAAGAAAGCAGACTGAAATAATAGGGGAAGAGGAGAATAATCACTCAAAAATCCTAAATCTCAAGCCAGGCACTGGAGGCTCACGCCTGTAATCCTAGCTACTAAGGAGGCTGAGATCTGAGGATCCTGGTTCAAAGCCAACCCTGGGCAAGAAAGTCTGTGAGACTCTTATCTCCCATAAACCATCAGAAAACCAGAAGTGGCGCTGTGGCTCAAGTGGTAGAGCAGTAGCCTTGAGCTGAAGAGCTCAGGGACAGCACCCAGGCCCAGAGTTCAAGCCCCACAACTGACAGAAAAAAAAAATCCCAAATCTCTCAAGAAATTGTCAATGAAGGAGGTAAGAAATACTGCCACCATGGGTTTCCAGCCACTGAATATGGCTGCTTTGAGAAAAGGGCTCACTGTCATGGTTGGATGGGCCTTGTACGTGCTGGAGGATTCAGTCAAGGGGCTTTCGAGAGTAGGGAGCCAGTACTTGCTATAGGGTAACCAGTAGGGAACTCACAAACAGAGTTACAGAAAAGTGACAAAAGGGATGAAAGGAGGCTCTATAATCTAGAAACCTACAAATGCCTCAAGTACCCCAACTCAAGTGCTTAGTATTCCAGAGCATTCACTCCTCACAGATGGAGGTTCTTGTATGAGACCATGTGATGTTAGCCCGGGACCTACCTTCATTTACCTCCTCAGAAATACTGCAGTGATAACTGTCTCATCCGTTTCCTCCACCATCTCTACAGAATCGTTCCCACCAACATGAAAAATGCTCTACAATCTCCCACTCCCAAAATACAAAAACACTCAAATCCACATCTGCTGCAGTTATCATCCAAGGACTCAATCCACTTTGCAACAACTATGTGGAGGATGTGCTCACCTGTACCAATTCCAACTCCTCGCCTTATACTTCCTCTTCCCCTATTCCAAATAGCTTCATCCTTGAAGTTTATGTGACTATAAATTCTCCTTGGTTTTTTCCTTCCTGCTCAGTCCTTTTCAGTCTCCTTGGCTGGTAGGACCTCTGCTCTATTCTCTAATTGTCTCAAGGCTTAGTCCTTTTCTCTGTCCCCATTCTTATCCTTATCCTTAAGGCCTATTTCGTGGCATTGAACAACATTTATTATAAACATGGATCTCTGCAGTACTCTCTCCCCTCCCCACTTCTGAGCTTCAGTCATAAATCTATTTGTTAAACTCACATCTCAAATATAATGAAACCAAACCAAACCTTGTTTCTCCTCAACCCAAGCCTGCTTTCCTCCCAGCTTTCCTGCCTTAATGACATGAGGCACCAACCACTGAGATATTCAAGATCCTAGGAATCTTTTGTTTTGTTTTTTGGTCCGTTGTGGGGCTTGAACTCAGGGCCTGGGCACTGTCCCTAAACTCTTTTGCTCAAGGAGAGTGCTCTGCCACTTTGAATGCCACCCTACTTCCAGTTTTCTGGTGGTTAACTGGCGATGAGTCTCATGGATTTTCTTTCCTGTCCAGGCTGGCTTTGAACCACAATCCTCAGATCTCAACCACCTGAGTAGCTTGGATTACAGGTGTGAGCCACCAGTATCCAGCTGTGGGATTCTTATCTCTAATTACTCACCAAAATGCTGGAAGCAGAGTTGTGGCTCAAATGGTAAAGCACCAGCCTTGAGCAGAGAAAAGGCAAATGAGAATGTGAGGCCCTGAATCCAAGCAGGAAAAAGATAAAAACAAAATATTCTGTACCTTGCCCATGTGGCTTTTTATATAATTTTCCTCTCTGCTACCTGTGACCTCCTCTCAAGATACTTCCCCCCAACAAACTGCTCTTTTGCTTCTGGAAGATTTTTTTGTGTATATGCCTTAAGCCCTTGCTCCCCTACCCAGTCACTGCAGCATGGCTCCTTCTTGTCATAAAAAGTTTATTTAAGATACCTGATGTCCCAATCCAACCAAACCACTCAGTCACTCAATATCACCTTACATTAATGTTCTGTATAGCAATTGTCATTATCTGGTACTATTTGGTTGTCTGGATGGTTGGTTCCCGTCCCTCCTCTAATAGATTGTAAGTTTGTGGGCAGTGGAAAGTCCTCTCCTATAAATCTCATCCATTAGTAATTCAACCATTTTATTCAGGCACCGATGGCTCATGCCTGTAATCCTAGCTACTCAGAAGGCTGAGATCTGAGGATCACAATTCAAAGCCAGCCTGGGCAGGAAAGTCCAAGAGACTCTTATCTCCAATTAACTATCAAAAAGCCAAAAGGGATGCTGTGGCTCAAGTAAAAGAGCACCTAGGAGGGGGAAAAATAAAGTGCAGACTACTAGAGGGGGAAAAAAATCTGAGAGCCCAAACGGGATTTTCTTCAATTACGCTGCTCCACTACTAGAAAACGAATGTTAACCCATACTCTCGCAAAGTACAACCCGTCTTTGAAGACCTCTAGCTAGTTCATTCATAAAGTGAACATTTACCAAGTGCCTACTGTATGCCAGGCACGGGGGAGACAAAGGCTCCAGGGCAGTTTTTTCTTTTTTCTTTCTTTTTGGGGGGGTCCTGGTGTGGGGCCTGAACTCTGGGCCTGGGCGCTGTCCCTCAGCTCTTCAGCTCGAAGCTAGCGCTCTACCCCTTGAGCCACAGCGCCACTTCTGGCTTTTTTCTTTTTGCATGTGTGGTGCTGAGGAATTGAACCCAGGGCCTCATGCATGCAAGGCAAACGCTCTACCACTGAGCCACCTTCCCAGCCCCTTCAGGGCAGTTTTTATTGTTGTTTGGGTTTTTGTGTGTGTGCTGTTTTGACTTCCTAGCACTCTCAGAGAGTGGGCAGGTTGAGAAACTCTGCCACGTATTATCTGCTACACTTTGTTAAAACAGTCTGCCTGCCTCTACATCTGACTTCTGTAGATCCTACAGACAGCGAGAACCGGGAAACCGAGCGGGGCGATGGTTCCAGAGTTTGGGCAGAAAAGCTCCCGCTTGACTCCCTGAGGCCACCAAAGACAGGAGTGACTGCCCGAAGTGCAGCACCCACCAGGTCGCGGGCGGAGCGTTGGAGCAATATTATTGGCTGACAGGGTCCCCGCCCCACCCCCACTGCTCCCCCGCAGCCAGGCAAGAAGGATGGAGGAGGGCCCGGGTGCAGAGACCATCCCAAGACGACCGTCGGAGAGCGCGGCGGGAAAGGAGGGCCTGCCCCCCCCCCGCCCACGTCTCCATGCGCGCGCGCACACACAGACACACACACACGACCCTGGCAGGGAGGCGTGTCCCGCCCGAGTTTGCAGCCCGGGTCCCCTCAGGCCCAGGCTCCCCGATCGAGATGCTAGCCCCAGCCCACCTCGGTCGCCAAGCCCGCCACCCTAGTTAAGACACACACACAACAGTGCAGCCGCGGCGCAGTGCGCGCCAACCCGGCCGCGACCCGCGCGCGCCGAGGAGGAGGAGGAGGAGGGAGGGGGAGCGCGCGCGGACCCCGCACAGGTGTGGGAGTGGACGCGGCGGGGCGTGCGACTCACTCACTCGATGAAGTAGCTGGCGCCCTCCTCCGTGAAGCCCTCCTCCCAGCCGCGGGGCAGGTCTGTGGAAAGGCCAGAGAAGTTGGGGTCACCGTGGGACCGCGCGGCGCCGCCCCCCGCCCGAACGCTCCCCCCCCCCCCCGCCTCCGCGTGCCGGCCGCGCGCCCACCTGAGCGGATCATGTGGCCGGAGTTGACGGGCTCGCCGGTGCGCGGGTGCAGCCAGGTGGTGCGGCGGAGCTGGTCACTGCCGGGGCGCGGGGAGAGGGGAGGAAGGTGCACCTGTTAGCGCCGCCACCCGGGGCCGGGGGAGACGCCGGGACCCGCGCCCCCACCCGCGCCGCACCCCACCCAAGTTCCCGCAGTCCCGCGCCGCACTTGATGAAGAAGACCCGGCCGTCCCGGCACACGCCGTAGGACCAGTGCTCAGGTAGAGTGTCCCGCCCGACCGCCGCCGCCGCCATGTTCGCCGAGCGCGGAGCCGCCGTGGCCGCCGCGGGGCGGGGGAGCGGGGGCGGGGAGGGGGGCCGGGGAGGGGGAGGAGCGGGAGGGGACGGCGCGGGCGGCGGCCCGGCGGGCGTGGGGCCCCGCGGCGCACCGGGGAGCTCCATGGCCGCGCGGTGCGGGGCAGGTCCGGCTCCCGGCTCCGCGGTGTGTGCGGCGCCGCACCGGCCGACCCGAGCTCGGGGCCCGCGCGGCCTTTGTCCCCGCGCCTTCCCCGCCCCCAGCGCGTCCCTTTGCCCCCGGAGGCCCCGGGAGCCGCGCGAGGCCCGGGATGCTGAAGGAGTGCCTTGGCCCTCACCCGCTCTGGCTAACGCGCGTCCCCGGATCTCACAGTAAAACGCCCCCGGCAACTTTCTGAACCCAAGTAACACGGAACAGGTTGCTGCCACAAAGTTCCTAATCAGCTCTGTAAGGCACGTGGTTTAGATTAAAGGGAGTCGCAGTGGTGTAAAGTGCTCCGCTGGAACTTGATGCCTAGTAGGTGCTCTGTGGATGCTTGGAAAGCATCATTTCATGTTCCTGAACTTCCTGCCAGGATCAGAAGCACGAGGGTGCAGGTTCCACACACACACACACACACACACACCCCTAACCCCTGACAGATGACAGAAAGAAGAAACGCTGAGGACAAGGGTGCACTCTTGCCCATATTTTGGAAAAGCGGGGGGTCTCCGAAAGGCTCTTAACATGGCTGGTGCTTTCCATACTCAGGACTTGGCTTGCATCTGAGCTCCTGGAAGAACCCTCTTCTGTCCCCTCTATACAAAGGAGACCCTTCTGTTCCCTTCATTCTCTATCCCGTTACTTGTTTGCACTGAATTGACATTTGTGTTTGTTTAATGTCTTCTTTGATGTATATTAGTTCATCTCCCTAAAGCTAAGGGTCAAATGGTGAAGAGGAGGAGCCTTGGTCTGCTGCCTCCAACACTGCAGGACCTCAGTGCCTGGAACAGAGCTGGACTCATGTATGTACTCACTGAATGCCTAATGCATGGATGAAAAACACTCCAACTTTCTCACACACTAAGTAAGCATGGACAGAATAGGAAGCTGGGCTTTCTAGACATGTGTCAGACCAGCCTTGTAGGCACTAGGGTCGACTGGCTGATCTGAGAGTAAGACTGTGCAGTGTGGGCCCTGGTTATTCTGGAAGTGGAGTAGGCTGGGCCCTGAAGGATGGATGAGGTTTGAGAGGGAAGAGAGCTTTCCAGAAGGGAGGAGAGGAGAGCAGACAGAGCTGTGTAGGGGTGGAATGTTGAAGAGAGACTAGAAAGGAACTTGAGAGAAGACATAGCTGTTGAGGAGGGAGCCTATTAGGAGTTAGAAGAGAAACGTGTTGATGACTCTATGTTCCTGAACATCTGTCTAAGGGAGCCTCTGTCTCTGGGGAGGTATGAACAAATGAAAAAAGGAGAGTTACATTTTAGTACTTAAACATTGATTTGAAACAGTGCATTAGGGCTGGGAAGGTGGCTCAGTGGTAGAGTGCTTGCCTTGCATGCATGAGGCCCTGGGTTCGATTCCTCAGCATCACATAAGCAGAAAAAGCTGGAAGTAGCGCTGTGGCTAAAGTGGTAGAGCACTTGAGCTAAAGAGCTCAGGGACAGCGCCCAGGCCCAGAGTTCAAGCCCCACAACAGACAAAAAAAAAAAAAGAAAAGAAAGAAAGATCTTAGAGGCCACCATGGTATAAAAAAAATTCAAAATGCCAATGTTAAGTGAACAATAAATAGCTTTGTGATTTAAACCACTGCAGTCAATTTTTTGTTAATTCACTAAATGATGCCCAACTCAGATTTCCTAACTCGCATATCAGTGTCGATGCGAACTTTTTATGTAGCTTTCTAGACATAGAGTTGGTATTCTGTGTTAGTCAACTTTCTGTTGTTATGACAGAATATATAACAGACTGGGTGATTTATAAAGGCTAGTGCTCTACCCCTTGAGCCACAGCACCACTTCTGGCTTTTTTCTTTTCTTTTTTGTTTGCTTATGTGGTGCTGAGGAATCGAACCCAGGGCCTCATGCATGCAAGGCAAGCGCTCTACCACTGAGCCACCTTCCCAGCCCTTCTTTATTTGCTTTTTTTGTGGTCAGTTGTGGGGCTTGAACTTGGAGCCTGGGCACTGTCCCTTTTTGCTCAAGGCTAGAGCTCTACTACCTTGAGCTACAATACCACTTCTGGTTTTCTGGTGGTTAATTGGAGATAAGAGTCTCACAGACTTTCCTACCTGGGCTGGCTTTGAACTGTGATCCTCAGATCTCAGCTTCCAGAGTCGCAAAGATTACAGGTGGGAGCCACCAGCACCCACCTTCTTTAGGTTTTTTTTTTTAAGAGGTCAATCTGGGAAATACACATTGTAGGGAAAGGCAATCTAATTCACTATTAATGGAATTATGAAATGGTTCAGCCTCTTTGAAGGCAAGTTAGCAGCTCAGAAATTTATATATCAGCAGAGCTTAGGAATTCCAGTTGCAGACCTAAAAGACTGTCTGCTCATAGTCTCTTGGGTGAATGGTCCAGCTTACATCACTGCTCTTGAACATTTTCTTTTTTTTTTTTTTTCTGGTCGTGGGGCCTGAACTCTGGGCCTGGACGCTGTCCCTCAGCTCTTCAGCTCAAGGCTAGCGCTCTACCACTTAGTCCCACTTCCGGCTTTTTCTGCTTATGTGGTACTGAGGAATCGAACCCAGGGCCTCATGCATGCAAGGCAAGCACTCTACCACTGAGCCACCTTCTCAAACCCATCTTGAACATTTTCATTGATGGAATGCAGTGCACCCACACAGGTCGATGGATAAGGAATGAGTATGAATGTAGATATAGATACTTTTTTTTTTGCCAGCCTGGGCACTGTCCCTGTGGTGGTTCACTCTTATAATCCTGATGCTGAGGATCATGGTTCAAGGCAACTCCAGGCAGGAAAGTCTGTGAGACCCTTATCTCCAATTAACCTCCTGAAAACCTGGAAGTGGTACTATGTCTCAAAGTGATAGACTCTAACCTTGAGTAAAAGAACTCAGGGACAGCTCCCAGGCCTAAGTTCAAGTCCCACAACTGACCAAAAAAAGGAAGAAAAAGAAAAGAAACAAATCTCTGTATCAGCATTGCTTCGGGCATCTCAGTTGCAAACTAGCTGTCTGCTCTAGGCCCATGAGTGGATGGAACAGCTCACATAATTGTTCTTGAACCTCCTCATGTAGAAAAGCCTCACTTTTCAAGGCAGGAAAATGATTATCTGGGCACCCCATATCCCAGTTTAGTTGACATATGAAATTAGCCATCACAATAAAATCTACATCTTGCAGAGACTCAGATACGTGGTACTCTGCAGTTCTCAACCTACAGAGGATTTCCCCCCAAAAAATGGAGGTCAACTTCTTGTTAGCCTTCTGTCTTCAAATTAAAATGATGAGCCAAGTGAGGTAGAATGCATAATCCTAGCTACTCAAGAGAATTCCTTAAGCCCTGGAGTTCAAGGATAGCATGGGCAACATAGCAAAACTAATTAAATTGCATGTTCTCCTTTGACTTCCTGCAGCCCCAGGGCCTGCACTTTTTGTCTTTTAGTTCAATCAAGAAGACATCTATCTGACACTTTGTCTTTATTTAAATCTATCTTACAATCTGGAAGAGTTGCAAATAGTACAATTAACTGTTTCAAAACCATTTGACACATAGTTACCCATAGGATACTCTAACCCTTTAATTTGGGTTTCCTAAGCCAGGTGCTAGTTGGGAGGCTGATATCTGAAGATTGAGGTTCAAAGACAGCCTGAGCAGAAAAGTCTGTGAGACTCTATCTCCAGTAAAGTACCAAAAAGCCAGAAGTGGGGCTGTGAGTCAAATAGTAGGGAACTAACCTTGAGCAAAAGAAGCTCAAAAACAGCACCCAGGAGTTGAGTTCAAGTCCCAGGAAGGCACACACACACAAAAAGTGTATCCTGCAAACAATTTTCTCCTATATAATCATAATACAGCCAGGAAAAGTCAAAATCAAACATCAATATCTCCATTTTACCACTGACTAATCTTCAAAACTCATTCAAGTTTCCCTGCTTATCCCATGTGTTTCCAGCAAAAGGATTCCGCTCAAGGATCAGAAGATGCATTTAGTTGTCATAATTATTTACTGACATCTTTTGTTGACTTGGATAGTATTGATGCTTTTTTTTTTTTTTTTGGGTCCGGTAATGGGGCCTGAACTCTGGGCCTGGGCGCTGTCCCTCAGCTCTTCAGCTCAAGGCTAGCGCTCTACCACTTGAGCCACAGTGCCACTTCTGGCTTTTTTTCTTTTTTGCTTATGTGGTGCTGAGGAATCAAACCCAGGGCCTCAGGAATGCAAGGCAAGCGCTCTACCACTGAGCCATCTTCCCAGCCCCAGTATTGATGCTTTTTAAAATTATAAGCCAGAAAGTTGCTGGTGGCTCACACTTGCAATCTTAACTATGCAAGAGGTTGAAATCTGAGAATCATGGTTCAAAACCATCCTGGGCAGAAAAGTCCATGAGATGCTTATCTCCAATTAACCAACAAAAAGCCAGCTGGCTCTCTACCATTTGCCAGTCCTGGAGCTTGAACTCAGGGTCTGGGCATTGTCCCTGAGCTTCTTTTGCTCAAGGCTAGCACTCTACCACTTGAGCTACAGCACCACTACCAACTTTTTCTGTTTATGTGGTACTGAGGAATCAAACCCAGGGCTTCACGCATGCTAGACAAGCATTCTACCACTAAGCCACATTCCCAGCCCCCAGTTCTGGATTTTTGATGGTTAATTGGACATAAGAGTTTTTCAGAGCCGGGCGCTGGTGGTTCACGCCTGTAATCCTAGCTACTCAGGAGGCTGAGATCTGAGGATCACGGTTCAAAGCCAGCCCAAGCAGGAGAGACCGTGAGACTCCTATCTCCAATAAACCACCAGAAAAACCAGAAGTGGCGCTGTAGCTCAAGTGGTAGAGCCCTCGCCTTGAGCTGAAGAGCTGAGGGACAGCGCCCC